CCACATTGATCTTAATCTTATAGTTTCTAAGGAAACAAGACCCTGTGGCTATATCTCAGTCCAGACCTAGATGGACTCCTTTGCCTCATAGCTTTGCTTTGAGCCTATTAAAGCATCACGTCATTTAAATTTTCCTCCAACTTTGCCCAGAATATTTTTTTTAAGAGATTTTATTTATTTATTTGACAGAGAGAGACACAGCGAGAGAGGGAACACAAGCAGGGGGAGTGGGAGAGGGAGAAGCAGGCTCCCCACTGAGCAGGGAGCCCGATGCGGGGCTCGATCCCAGGACCCCGGGATCATGACCTGAGCCGAAGTTTGCCCAGAATTCTATACTAACTTGAATTTTCCCTTTGTTTGGTGATGTGCCCCACAGTTCCTCTGTTGTGTGGCCTCCCTCACTGCAGTGAGTCAGTAGACGTGATTTTGTCCCCGGGCGGGGGGGGGGGGGTCTTAGGCTGATTGGATTAGTACACTATCATCTATGCTTAGCATTTACAACTCAGAACCCCTTTCTTGAATCTCAGGTCTCTGTTTGCAGTGCTTATTGAAATGTTACATCTGCAAGGCCCTTTAAGTATTTCAAACTCACATGACCAATCCAGAACTTTTGTCTTCCCTGCCACTAAGTCGTATACTTCTTGTTTCCCCTGGCCCTGTCCCGATAAATAGGCCTTAGGATCTAACTAGAAATCAAGGCATTATCCACATTCTGTTCTTCCTCATTCCCCCAGTCAGGCAGCCCCTTGCTGTACCCCAGGACCCAGCGCAGTGGTCGGCACACAGTAGGTCCTCAGTAGCTATTTCGTGAATGAATGAATAAAACCGCAGAAGTCTGGTGCAGTTGCTCTTCTTTTAATTTTTGAAATTTTCTACTAGGTGATAAGATTGTGTAGGGCTGGGGATGGATCTTTATCTTGTTTGCCTTGCCCTTCTCATTTCAGTTATTTGGACATAATAGGTATTTAATGCATATAGATTGCCTGAATATAGTAATACAACTAGTTCCCCAGGGCACTACAATAAGTCGTTTTTAAAAAATTATCAGAGTATTCCAGGCAGACCCTATCTGTTCTTGGCCTTTTTTTCTAAAATGTCTTTTGTCATACTTCAGTCCCTCCTTTGGCTGACGGTGGTGCAGTTTCTGAGTCCAGCCTTCATGCATCAGAGTCCTTGTGGATACCCCTCTCTGCTTGGTAAACTCATCCATCCACCCATCCCAGTGCCTCTGGGAAGCCTCCTTGACTCACTAGGAAGAAATCATCTGTGTCCTCATTGCGCTTCATGATGCTTCATTTAAGCTCTGATCACAGTATTTTGTAGTTACTTGTTTACTTGTCTTTCTTGATGGACTCGGCTTCTCTAACGCTTGTTCACTGTGGTGTTCCCTGAGCCCAGCTCAGAAGTGGGTGAGGGTAACTATGGAACAAAGTGTTTCACCAAGGCCCACTCTCTCAGTGGCCGTGGTGTCAAATGACAAAGGGGACTTTTCTCTTTCCAGGCCCCCATCTCTGCCCCTGCCGCTCCTCTTCCCTCCTTGGGCCACTAACTGCCACGCGATTGTCCCTTTCAAGTCCTAGTCTCCCTTGGAAGCCCTGCCTGGGCTCCATCCCCTCCAGGCCATAGGCTGCTCACCTGCCCACTCATTCATTCTTGTGGCAGGGATGTTGCTGGGGACCCTTCTAGGTGTGAGACAGGAAACTAGGAGCCAGGGAGGATGAGGCTATGGAAGGAACACCCAACAGCCTACCTCCTTCAGGAGCTTGTAATCAAGTACTGTATTAGATAGTATTTTAAATTAAGTTATTTTTAAAATAGAATATTACTTCTGTGTATTACACAGAACGCTTGTTCTTTTTTTTTTTCATTTTAAAAAGAAATAAAAATCACCCATATTCCTATTACCCAGAGTCAATCTCTGTTAACATTTTAATATATTTTCATCTAACTTAAAAGAAATAATTTTGTACTTTCTATTTTGAAGCAGTTTCAATCTTACAGAAAAGTTGCAATAAGAATAAAGAGACCTTGAGGTACCTGGGTGACTCAGATGGTTAAGTGTCTGCCTTTGGCTCAGGTCGTGATCTTGGGGTCCTGGGATCAAGCCCCATGTCGGGCTCCCTGCTCAGAAAGGAATCTGCTTTTCCTTCTCCCTCTGCCCCTGCTTGTGCTCTGTCTGTCTCTCAAATGAATAAATAAAATCTTTTTTAAAAAAAGAATAAAGAGAACTTTCATATACCCTTTGTCTAGATCCACTGGTTTTTAACATTTTTGTCGCACTTCCTTTATTATTCTTTTTGTCTACAGGGGATCAGAAAGCCCAGAAACACACACACACACACACACACACACACACACACACACACACACACA